GGGGGGGGGTTGTTGTTGTTGCTTAATTATGGCAAAATAGATATAACATTTTATTGGCATTAATTATATTCACTATGTTGTAGAACCATGCTCACTGATTCTAATTTTCTTCACCCTTAAGAGAAATTTAGTACCCTTAAGCAATAACTCTTACCCTCTCCTACGGGCCCCTGGGAACCACCAATAAATTTTGGTCTTACACATTTGTCTGCTGTAGATTTTCATGAGTGGGATGAAAAAATATCTACCTACATGTATCGAATGTACTTCATTCAGCATAATCCTTTCAGGAGGTTCATCCACATGGTAGCATTTATCAGAACCTCACATCTCTTTTCAGCACGCCACTATTCCATTGTCTGCTTCTACCACTGTTTGTTTATTCATTTTACCATTTGATGGACTTTTAAGTTGTTTCTACCTTTTGGCTATTGTGATTAATGCTGCAGTGAGTATCAGTGTATCTGTTCAAGTCTGCTTTCAGATCTTTTGGATATATACCAAGGATTAGAATTGCTGGGCCATATGCTAATTCTATTAAACTTTTCTTGAAGAGCCACCAAGCTATCTTTCTCAGTAGCTACATTATTTTACAGTCCACCAGCAAAGATTCACGATTCCAGTTTTTCCATATCCTTTCCAATATTTGTTTTCCATTTTTCTGACCATAACCAGTCTAGTGAGGATAAACCAATGGCTCATTGAGGATTTACATTTCTCTAATGAGGAGCCCCGGTGGCACAGCATTTAAGCATTGGTCAGCTAACCCAAAGATGGGTGGTTCAAACCCACCAGCCACTCCCTGGGGGAAAGTTGAGACAGTTTGCTTCTACAAAGACTCACGGTCTTGGAAACCTGTGGACAGTCCTACCTTGTTTTATAGGATGTGATGAGTGCGCCTCAGCTGGACAGCAGTCAATTTTGTTTTGCGATACTGATGACCCAGAGCATCTTTTCATGTGCTTGTTGGCCATTTGTGCATCATCTTTAATGAAATATCTGGTCAAATTCTGCGTCCGT